CCCCCCGAATGTTCACTAAATACCAGTATTTGTATAAAATCTCTTGTCAGTGTGGTTGAGCTGAAATCCATTAGACTAGCCTGTTTGCCAACATACATTAAAGTGGTATTGCTTTAATGACACCATAGTCATCAGACCTTTTCTGTTGTATTTTGCTTGGATGGATTAGGGTTTAGTGAAATAAAACCCACTTATGTTGGACAAAGCATAAGCACTTTCAATTCTGTGTTTGTGGTTAGTGTTTTATCTTGTTCTGGTTCTTCTTGTTAAGCATAAAATTTTATTTAAGTGTAAAGCATTTCTATCATATGATTGGCTATTTTTGAGTGGTTTTCTTCATAGTCTTCCAATTTACAGTATCATCTCATGAGAATTATTGTAGAGTTCAGATTTTGGGAAGGAAGTGAGAATTATTAGAAGTATGATGAGTAATTTCTGTTCCCTTTTTCTTTTATGATTCATTATCCTTAAATATCCTATGACACAGTTTACAGAAATATAAATTACATTATTGTCTGAAGTAAAACTGCAATGAGATATGATTTTGAAGGTTAATGCTACTAAAATTTGATGCATTTTGTGCTTTTAAAAATTTCCTACCAGTTTCTGCAGTTACTTTCAAGGTGTTTTGATAGTTTCTTGTGCAGTGTTTCCCTCAGAAGGGAGCTTATTGCCCCTGCAAGATAGCTTTGAACAGTCACAGCAACAACGTAAAGTAAAAAAAGAAAATCAATATTTCATTTTAGAAGGGTATTTGAGAAAATTGGTCTAAAACTGCATTTTGACCATTCATTTAATGGTGGTCTTTATTCTCCTGTAATATTAGGATGGCCTCCAGTTCCTCAGCCTGTATTAAAATTGCTGGTGTTTAAGCCAGTAGCTCACTTGGTTTGCGGCTCTAATTCCTGCAACACTTCAGCAGTTTAGAAGTTTTAAATATGTCATTTGAGGACAAAGAAACCCCATTGCATAATATGGTTTTCTTGTCTTTCTGTTGTAGGTTGTGTTAAAGATCATTAAACATTACCAGGAAGAAGGACAGGGGAATGAAGTGGTCCAGGGTGTGCTGCTGGGTCTTGTGGTGGATGACAGACTTGAGATCACAAACTGCTTCCCTTTCCCTCAGCATACAGAAGATGATGCAGACTTTGATGAAGGTAATGTATACAGTTTTGCAAAACTTCAGGTAAAAAAAAAAAAAAAAAGCCACGTGCAGAAAAGGATTTTTCTTTTCCACAATGACCAGAAGCTTGTATGTGATCAGCGACTTCTTTTGTTTGACTTGAGGTATCAATGAGTCCAGCTGTAATCTTGTCAGTGTAAGGAAAGTTACAGGGATAAATACTGTATTATATGAACACACTTACTTTAGAATAAGACTGTCCACACAGGAAGTTACATGTTTCCAGTCAAGCATTTATATAGACTTCAAAGCTTTTTATGAAAATGGCTCTCTGTGTGTGTATGTGTGTGTGTGTATATATATCTATATCTCTCTATATATATATATATATATATATACACACACATATATATACACACATGTATACATATGTAGTCAGGCAGTTAGATTGCCTCTCTGTGGATTTATTTGTATGTATTTAGTACTCCTTGAAAGCCTGGAGAGAGAACTTTTTAAGCGTAAGAAGTACTGGTTAACTTGAAATCTGGGTGATATTTTTGCTTTTCCAAGTGAACTAGAAGTAACATCAGTGATTTCTATCTGTCTTGGTGTTTCCTTGCTGGTCCTACTAATGTTTTGTAATTGCCACTGTAACTTAGTCTAACTGGCTTGACACAGACTGATATAAAATTGATAAAGTAAACTTAAAAGGCTTGCAATTCTAATCTTGGTGATATGTGTGTATGTATGTAATGATATTAGTAGAAACGCTTCTTTGTTAGGGCTTAGAGAGACAGATTAACTTCGAGAGTAAGTAAAGAGGCAATGTAGTCAAAGTAGTTGAGGTTGGAAGCTTGATTTTTATCTAATTTTGATAATTCAGTTTGAGCAAGATTCCTTAATCTTTTAAGCATAAACTGCTTTTTCTTGTTTATAATGAGATTAGATATTATTCAATTAATCTTTTATCTTATTACAAAAGCATCTCAGACCTTGCCTTTAATACAGATTGTTTTAAGAATTCTTTGGAACTTGGTAAGGTTTCTTAGCTGCTTATTGCTTCTGTTGTGGGATTATACTATTTGCTATATTAAAAAAAAAAAAAAAAAGGACAAAATTCAAGGGAATCTTAGTTGTCCTACATTAATGTGGTGCTTGAGTCATAACTATGTTTTATTAAAGCCTAAAAGATGTTTTAAAGATTCCTTCTCTTCTGGAGCTCTTCAAAGGGTTGGAGTAATCTAAATTTTTAATTGGAGCCTATGTTTCAGTTTTTCCTGTAGAAAATGGCTGCATTATTTCCATGTAGTTGACAGGCAAACAAGGAATGAAATAAATTCAGTTTCAGAAATTGGTTATCTCATCATATGATGAGTACCATGCTGAAGCTGTAAGCCTGGGATCTGGTATGCAAGGTCCAGCTGTTCCTGCTTGGGAGAAACTTCATTCTAAGAAAGTGACTGTCTACCAGTCTGACATTTTCCCTTTTCAACAAGTAGGCAATAATCCTGGAATTAAGTAAGGTGCAAAAGGCAATGCTTGTGGAGCTTCCCTCACCTGGATGCCTCAGCTTGTCAACCTTCTGTTCCTATGCTGCAGGCATAGAAAAATAGCAAACTCTAGTCAGAGTGTTGAAGGTTAAACTTCTAGAACAATGTAACAATATTATGCTTAGGTCAAGAAAGATGTCTCTGTAAAGCCAAAGGTATCCCTAATCAGAGCAAGTAGATAGCCTTCTTTGAGCAAGGATATCCCAGAGCAATTAGCCCTTGCAGAGGGTACCTTGCTAACTTGGCAACCAAACTCAAGGTCCATGTATCCTCAGCTGAACTACCCTCATTATAATATTAAAAATCATGCCTGTAGGTCAAGAAGACCATTGCCCAGGTGAAGACCCTTCCCCTAAGCATGCATAGTAGTAGAAGTATTGTGTCAGCAGTATTATAATTGTATGTAAATTACTAACCAATCATCATAGGCTTGGAAAATTGCTAACTACGCAAGTTTTGTGTATAAATACAGTATGGAAAGTCTGGAAAGTGTGCATGTTAAGAGGAGAAATCCCCCATGCACCCAGCACTGTAATAAACCAATGTCGACTTTCTAAACTAAACTATCATTTGGTTTGGAGAGTTTTCTTGGTTATGATTTTTTGGTAACAAGAGTGGAAAGTGAACCTGTCACTGTGATGTTGATGCATGTCTCTAGCAGTGGCAGGGAATTTACAACCAGGTCAGGGGAGCTTGCCTGTGCTGAACCCTATAAGCCAACCTCAAGAGCCATTTTGTATTGGTTTTCATCTTCCCTAGCCTCTACTGTATGGGTCACAGAGAGGTTCCCTCTCTATTCTTCTTAGTGGAATACAGTTAAATAGACTGAACCATTCAGAAAACTCACAGCACTCATGTTGATTCTGCATTCTCTTTACTTAGGGCTTGTTCAGCCATTTGACCTATGTGGTACAGGCTAGGGAAGATGAAAACCCAAACAAAATGGCTCTTGAGGTTGCTAGCTTGAGTGTTAGGTACCTTATTAGACTCTATACAGATTTATCTTCTGTTTTCCCATTGTGAAAACCAATAATATTTTATAAATACTCCTTGTTTGTTTTCCCTGGAGCTGTGTTTCCCTACACAAGCATCCTGCCAGATTTTCAAAAGGTTCTTTTTTCTTCTAGATACAGATAGTTCAGCAGAGAAATTTGTTATTATGCCAGAATCTTAACATTCAGGATAATAAAAACCAAACCAAGCAAGGCATTTCCTTCCCACCAAGATTTGTATGTTATGTCAGTAGCATAACTGGCTTTATATGTTTGCACAAATTCAGATCCAGAGATTTGGAAGGGAAGTATAAGGATCTTGGCACTTAAGTACCTCCATTACCTAGAACAACACTTAACGTTGTTCTCTTTGGTCAGAATAATGTTGTATTGTCTTTTCTTCCTTTCTGTGTATATTTCTTTTTGTAAATTTGTTTCCTCCCTTGTCTAAGATTCTGGAATAGGAAAAATCCTATTGAGATTCCAGGTTTCTGGGCCTGCATTTCTTAATGGACTTTGGTCATACTTGATCTTAAGTTAATGCAGGAACTGTTGCACTGGCTGAGGGGCCACACTACCCCAGCTGCCTATCTCCTGAGGGCTGGAAATGAGGAACAGCTGTGGTGTGGTTATCTACTGGCAAACTCCTAATCTGCTATGATGAGAATTGAATGAATACACCCCCAAAAATAATTTCTTCTATATCATTTTGCAGGAGCTCTAGGAACATATCACCTGAAAAATACTGATTTGCCTTGTGGTCTTGAGGTGATCATTAAGAGAACTGAACTTATGTACAGGGGGGTGATATTTGAGCAAACAACCTGTTGGATAATTGGAAAGACACATTTAAGCTAATGTTTTCTTTTTCTAAACTGAGAAAATCTAATGAAAACATATTTTTGAGGATGCTAAGAAAATATCCTTAATTTGAACTTGAAATAGGTATTCATGACATCTAAGAATCAGTTTGATAAAGAGGTATTTCTAACTTTTTAGCAACAGCAGTTGCTTCGGATATGCTCAGATATGCTTTTGTTATGGTGCCATTAATACCTGAGTTATTAAAGTTTTTGCTATTTGCTGCAACAGAATTCCTTCAAAATCAAAATTTTTGATTTAAAAATACTCGACGTACCCTACAAGGACGACTTGTTCCTTTAGTGCAAGAACATTTTTAGTGCAGTCTGAATTGGATTCTTTCTAGAAACTACTGAAAACATGAGAACTTTTTTTTAGCTTCAAGTAATTGTTATCACAAATCTGGGAGGATGGTCTACCATTTATGAATCCACAGGTGTTTTTCATCTTAGTTCTCCTGCAGTGTCATCTTCCTAAGATTCTTTGTAAAAAGTGTAATCTCTTCTGGTAAGATTTCCCTGTCTGGAAAGGCTTAAACACTTAGTTGACTTGCTGCAGCACAAGGTTTTTAGGAGTGAGAGGGTTTGACCCAGCTCTCTGTGTTAGAAATCTGTAGCTGAAGTTTAGTTGATGAAGTGTGAGCTAATGGAGGAAAACTGCAGAACACGTATGTTGTTGAGTCTTCAGCAAAAGATGCTTCAGCTTAAATGTTAAATGTTAAATATTTTGGGGCCGCACTCTGGATTTTCGGTCAGGCATTTACTTTTCAGATAACTGTGTTTCATTATTACTGGTGCACTTACATTCAATACCTATTGAGGGTTTATTTCTCAAAACACAGATCTTTAAGAAGATACTTTGTTATCTACATGTACAATCCCTATTCCTGTGCCTCCTCCCCAACCCAATGGATTCAACTTCTTGTTTAGGAAATATCAGATTTCTGCTGTAAGGATTTTTGACTTGGGCACTTTTGTGAAATGATGCAGTACCCCAGCTTGTCTTTGTGAGGGTAGTTTTCTGAGAATTACTTTCACTTTAGGGCACTTGCAAGATCTTGTCTGAGTGTAGTTCTTTGCTCTCTTTCGGTTAAGGTTTATAAGAAAGGTGTAATGCATGAAGTATATTTTCTTCCTAAGAAATAAATGTATTATTCTTGACTATAAATTGTGTTTCTAAGTGACATGTTAACTTCAATGCTTTGCACTTCATTGTTTTTATCTTCACTGCTATTCACTGAGTAGCTTTTCTCATTGTTAAAAGGAAATTTGTATTCCTTTCATGGAAAGCAACAGTTAAAATAGTACTTACAAAGCTGAGATAATAAATTAAGTGCTGTGGTAATTATGCCAATAGAAACTTTGAGGCAGTTATATAATTATAGATCAAAATAAGTTCTAGAATGTTGTAACTTTTTCTTTTATAACTATGCAGTTTTTATTAGATTCCCTCTGAGATGCTACAGATGAAAAGGTGATGCCACCTTCTCTTCCCCCACCCCTGACGTGATTTTTACTTTCTTACCTCAGAAGGTTAATTTTATTTTTCAGTTTTCAGGTTAGAAGTATCTTATATAGATGATTAAAGATTCTAATACCTGTATTTTTCTGTGCTGTAGGTTGTATTTAGTT